TTTCTCGTTCATGCACAGTAGAATTGTAAATGGGCTGATTCATCAATGTCAAGCTCATAACTATCTGCAACAGGGAACTGCTGCTTTTTCTTTCCTAATCTGTACTATTGTCATTTTTCTTCTACTTTTTTGTATGTTTGTCGCACTCTTGTGACCCGCTATTTCCTGGGTGCCCTGAAAGCCGAAACAGACCCTGTGCTGTTGAAGCTAGAGAGATGAGCAGAGCAAGCCTGGTTCCCTGTAAAGACTTCTCTGTTGACATCCAACCCTTGGCGTTCATAATATGACCTTATCCAGTTGCGAGTGCCGTAAAACCTCTACAAAAAAATCAAAAAAATAAATGAAAAACACTACAGTCCCATCGAGACTGTTTAGTTCATAATATAGAATGCGGGCTGCTTCCACCTTGTCTATCAGTCAGCGTCAGTCAGGGTCACGCGGGTGGTTGGAGGGTGCCACTGGTAGGTCCTACTTCTTTACTTTCCCTCTGTTGTTTCTGTCTGTCTGTTTTACTTTCCCCCAGCACAAAATGACCATTATTGTGTCAATGTGCTTGTCTTTACTTAAACAAAGTCAGGGTCAAAATGGGCAGAGACCAGTACAACGTATATATTATGCAGACATTCTGAAGTGCATGTACTTAATAATGCCTTTGATCATAGGAATCACACTGACTTTCTCGGCGTGCAACGTTTTAAAAGCCAAATCATTACAAAACTGACGTTTCATCTTTTTTACCCCTTTTTGTGAAGTTCGAAATATGTTTTCGGGTAGTTGTAGGGTGGTAAGTCCTACTTCTTTACTTCTCTATTGTTTCTGTCTGTCTGTCTTACTGTCCCCCCTGTGGTGTCGGTAGCCTAGTGGTTAGGCTACCGGACTCGTAATCGAAAGATTTCGGGTTCGGGGGTTCGAGCCTCAGGTCGGTCCGACATTGTGTCCTTGGGAAAGACACTTTACACACAATTCCCATTTGGGTCAGTCTTTTCGGAGATGGACGTTAAACTCGGAGGTCCCGCCTCTTAAATAACCTAATAGTGTTAATAGAGGCGTTAAACCCATACCATTTCACCATATATTTTTTTCACTTTTCCCGCTGCACTAAATGATCACCATTGTGTCTATGTGCTTCTCTTTACTCATACAAACATAAAAAACAAAAACAAAAACAACAAATAAGTAAATGATTTTAACTGTATTTTTAAAATATTGAAATGTTAATTTAAAAATGTTATTTTTGGTGCTTTTTCCAGAGCCACCTGGCGAGCAAGAAGCGCGAGCAGATGAAATCTCGCGCCATGAAGCTACCAGAACTTTCGGAACACTCGGAGCTGGACACGACCAGCAGTAACGGACAGTACAGGGAGGAGGAAGAGGAAGAGGCGGATAAGTCCTCATCCCCACTCTCCTCTAACGCCGGCACCACAAACAGCTCTGGCTCCGCCCCTCCCCGCATCACGCCACAGATCTCGGTGACAGACGAGCATGGAGCCACGCCCCCTGCACCGTCAGACGAGCCGGTCACGCCCAGTCTGCCGGAGTCTTTCCTCAAGAAGCTGGGACTTATTGCACGGAAGGGGAAGGAGGAGGAAGAAAGGTGGGTGGTGTTGTTTGTTTGTTTGTTGTCATTGTTGTTTTGATGTTGTTGTTGCTTTGTTGTTGTTGGTGGTGGTGGTGGAGGTTTCTGCTTCCGTGTGTGTTTGTGTGCGTGTGTGTGTGTGTGTCCGGGT